TCCACCCTTTTAGTCATTGTAGGATAATTGTCTCCACTCTAGTGAACGTTTTTAGATAATACTCTCAACAAATCTGTTTATTCTTCCTTACCTTCTGCTACCTTTTGCATCTCTATAAAATAAAATAAAAGGCATAATAAACTTACAGAAGAAAAATAGCCTTGCAAAGTCAGCACATCAGTAAATGTACTGTCTAACTCTTCTGTAACAGCAGCTGCTGCCAACATTGTGATTTCTTTACAGGGTTTATACTTCCTCCTGCCCCAGTGTCAAAATACTCATTTTGCCTATGTGTAAGCTTTTCAAGATTTTCATTCCTTTCCATCTTCTCTCCAACAAAAGAGGTCTACTAAACCAGCCTTATTTTGACAAACGTAAGTATTGTTAAATAATTTAAATTGTAAGTTATTAGAAATCAGAAACTTTTTAAGTATCTCAGGTTTCAAAATATTTCTTCATCCTCATTTCAGCTTCCTTAAATCAGTTCACTCAATTTTTCCCTTCGTCATCATTACTTCTTGCATTACTTTTCCCTAATTTCAATTTCAGAACAACTCAGTAACATTTTTCATACTACCTTTAATATTAAGGTTGTACATTGTAATTTCTACCACCATGCCTACATCACAGACTTTGCAAAAAATTAATATGATCAGATGCACTCAGCAAAAAAATGTAAACAGAAAAATTAAGAAACATGTCAGGAAAGAAAAGATTATTCAAGACATGTAGTAACTGAGGAAGGGCAGAGAAAAAGTGCAGTGAAAGTGCTATACTCAGTACCAGAAGCATAGAGAACATTGTGGCCATTCTGAGTACACACATTCAGGATTTAAAAATAAAGCATAAAAGCGTAAAACCAGAAATAACAATGGAGCAAATATGGCTATGCCTTTAGCTCTTTTCCTCTCCAGCAAGAACACCTGCCACTGATAGAGGGATAGGTCAGAATTATTAGTTCTAAATTCATGAACCGGTTTCATCTTGATAGTGCATCAAACATTTTAACAGATCCAATCTCTGCATTACCAGGCCAAGAAGCCAAAACCAAACAAAACCTCTATACCACTGAATTCAGGAGATTCCTGATTTTATGCCTTCTGTTTATTAAAAAAGTACATAATGTCTCAAATTAGAGACATTGAGTCAACCCACCGACTCTTCTGCTCCCATGAAGTCATAAGATAACATTTCTCTAAAAGTGCACAAAGCTAAAGAAACAAAGCAGACACAATCTAGTGAAGCCAGTTAAAAAGTAGCTGTGCAAAGGCTCTCCAACAAAGACAGGTCTATTAAACCAGCTTATTCTGGCAAATATATTGATTATGCATCTTTATTACAACAGAATTTACAAGCTAAAAGATGCAACATTTGAACCACTCATTACTAATTTTTATTATTTAGTCTAGTCTTAAAACATCTTTCAAATCATCTTTGCAAGCATTAGTGTGCACAGACAGTGTCTTAACTCCTGTTTCCCTGGGAGAAGACACTACAGCAAGCCACCAATGTTTAAGTAAGAGAAACACATTCACAAATTATTCTGTTTGGTCTATTTAATCTCTGCTATCAGCCTGATCCTGCCATTAAAATAATGAAATATATGGCTCACTGAGAGAAAATCAAATTAAAGATCTCACAGTATTCTAATAATTCTTTTCCAATACAGGGAATAAGTCTTCATTTCACCCTTCAAGAATTCACATTATACTTTACATTACCAGTGAGCTGAAGTCTCAACTTGTTAGTGGTACTACTAATATTTTTTCCATCACTTAATCACTAACTGGATCTTACGGATGCAGCACTATAAGACGAAACAATTTGAAATGACAGCTGGAAGAGAAACTCCAACCTTTCCTAGCCACCTCCAATCCACAGTTCCTAAAAAAAAAAAATATTTTCTATTCTACTGTTTGTTACTGTGACTACAGTTCTCTGCATGGCAGCTGTTATTAACAATTAGTAGTCTGGTTTTTTTACTGATGACTATCTTGGCTAAGATATACAGTGAAGGGGAAGATCTCCCTAAGTTTCATTATCGGATCTTAAAGAGCCATCCTTACAAAAGAATTGAAAACATTTTCTTTGTACCTCCAAAAACAGAAAAGCAAATCAAGCTGTCATGTCTTTTTGTGACGTTAAAGCAGAATGCAGTACCATGTATTTTGAGCAGATATGGATCTGATATAATTGAGTCACTGGAAGGGGAAAGAAGTTGAAAAGGTAGTATCTGAGAACTAACAATGCTTACACTGAAGAAAGCATCACATCAGAAATAAAAAAAAAATGCACCCACTGTACTTCAGACAATGCATATTTTGTATACTGAGTTAAAGAAAGAGAACTACTATGGCAGCATTAGTAAAGCCATTAGTAAAGTTTGCTCTGGATTGCAAAGTGAGAATCTGTATCATACTTTTACTGAAATCAGTGGGAGAACAAACTTGACACAATTCTTGAAGGGTAAATTTAGATCCTGTACTTAGCCAGTAGTGTCTTGTGCCAACAGAAGTCAGTTTTAAATACATTTCTGTGATAATGTGTACTTTAAAAGCCTCTTATATATATAAAAATGCAGAATCCAATCTTCACCAAGAGATAAATTTACTCCTCTAGATCAAAAAAAAAGTATTAAACAAACGCAGATTTTGAAGGTGTTTCCTCATTAGTCACATGCTCACTAAGATGTCACAAATCAGGGCAGCACTGGGAACCAAGACACAACTTTCTCATGCGGACCTGCAAGAGATCCTAATCCCAGGGTAAAGCGATTGCTATCTCTAGACAGCATTAGCAGCATAATCTGCATGCAACTACTGGGATGAGAAGTATTTTCTAAAGTCAGTTAATACGAAATAATACTATAGTAACTTGGTGCATCAACTTCCACTTAATGGGTCCTGACTGTAAGCTGCAAGTAAATGCTGTAGGCCACGCAAGAAGAAAGTACAACTAGGCTGGCATGCAGGCCCATCTGAAAAAGATCAAGGGAAAGAATCTTTTAAGGGTTAAAGCTGCAAACAGGCAACTAAAATCTGGCCCTAATGCTATGCACAAAGATTCTTCGTTTGCAATGACAGGACAGGATTAAAATCACTGCTAGTTCTCACTAAGGTTTCTAGACCAAGAAATTTCCAAAATATTATTCAGTTTGTGAAATAACTTGTTCACAGCGCAGATGAATATTAAAATCCATCAGGCAACACCCAAATACCTAAAAACACAAGTGAAGTTGTGTGCCAATAACAGCTAGTAAACAGACAGATCTAAAGGGGACAGTTCAAACATGCTGCTTTCTCTTCCTCCTCACTGCCACAGAATAATGCCTGCCAATTTCTAGAGAGCCGAGCATACTTCTCCATTTAGTGTTTTGTCTGAAGGCCAACAATGCAGTCACAACATACGAAAATACCCCAAAGACTTGATGTGTTAGGTCTTGAAAGATGGAAATAACAAAGCATAACATTAAAGGTTTTTTCCAACCTTTAACTTCTCCACATTTCTTTGTACTCCTTGGCATTCACAAACATATTAAGTACTAGAAAGCTAAGTCTCGATTCTTTCCCTCTCCTTCAGAATATCACTCAATCTGTAACTGACACTAAACACCAAGTTATTTGTATTCAGATAACTAAAACCAAAAAAGTCATCTGTATTCATACTAGTCGGCTATATGTTATCATATTAACTCTGTCTTGGCCTTAACACTTTCTCAAGGAACAAACTCCCCCAAACAGCCAGAGTTGTTTAGGAATCAAACTTTTTTTCTTTGTAGTTATAGCATAGTCAGCCTTATAGCAAAAACTTACAGGTAAAAACAAATTACAGACATTTCTAAAAGATAAATAATTCCCTCAGGTAAACAACATATCTGGCAGAAAGGGACTGAGGAGAACCACACAGATAATGTCAGAATTGCCCAACTGAAAAGCAGAAGGGCATGCAGTTGTTTAAAAAAGGATCAGATAGATACATAATCCACCCACAACACACTTTTTCTGCTGTTTTTATTCCCAGGCTGACAAGTCATTTAACTTTATAAAACAGGACTAATATTTTGGCTGGGAAGCAAGAATCTTGTCTTCTCCATTATATTCTTTAGTATCGCCTACCTGGATCTTCCTACTTTCTGTTCACAATAGAATTTAGATGAAAATTTTGGCTTCTAGTACATAGTCAAATCCTGCCTTAGTTTTCAGTTGAAAATTAAAAAGGTGGCTAGTTATTGCTCCTCACCCACACTCATCAGAAAAATAAAGAATTCTCGCAATGCCAATTAGATTAATTTCTAGAGAGGATTGTAAAAACCCCAAGATTTTCCCCACGTAAATGGGGATGCGCTCACATTCTAATTCTAGGTCTTTTAGAGAAGAATTCAACAATAGTAACTATCACCTATGGTTTTGTTTTCAAAACATTGATTTTATGTTTCTGCTCTCCTCAGTCCATAAAATGAAAGACTTCCTGCTCTATATTATTTCTTATGAGAAATTAATTACTCAACAGCTAGCAACTTTCAAGAATAGACAAATACTACCCACATTCTTCAACTGTTATAAAACCAGATGAAAGCTGTTTTCTCTTGATCAAGAAATCCTATATTCCCCCCTTCATTCCCTCCTTTTTAATTAATGAAAAAGCAGGAAAACTGATTAATGACGACCAAACAGTTTTTCCATAACAGAAACAGATGGAGGCTGAAGAGATATGAATACCTGCAACTTTAAGAAAGAAGTTAAATTAAAAGGACCCCTGTACCATATCCTAAGAAAGCTCAGTTTCTCCAGGTCTAACACAAAAGCATACTCCTAAACCAAAAATATTCATAAAATAACATACATTTCTGTAATGTAACCAAACAACAACAAAAACCCCCGAATACTGTACATATAGCAAAGAAAAGCAACTTGTAGCAACAAAGGTACAAACTGGTGACCGAGATTGCAAACAAAGAGACAACATGTCCAATATGAGGTAAACCGTTAATGAAGACTTACCTCCAGAAACCGGGGCATCCATGAAAACAGCTCCCATTTTTTCAACAGCTTTGGCTAATTCTTTTGAAACTGCTGGGTCAATAGTACTGGAATCTATTAGCAATGAGCCTTTCTTCACTTTCCTAAAATAAAAATGATTTGTTGTTGCTGCTGTTGTTGTTATTATTAAATATTTGTTTTGCAGGACACCTGTAATTATTACCATGGCACTGGCTTTCCTCAGCATGATAAATTTATAGACACTTTGTGGTACCCAGAGAAACACAAAGTTTTAAACCCTATTGAGCGAGATCTGCTCAGTATTTATACTGCTGATTATGCATAGCACACAGTTTTGAATCACTCAAAGCCTAATAATATCGGAACAAAGAAGGATGTTCCTCCTAAACACTATTATAAAAAATTACACAAAAAGGGTGCACAAGGAAAACTTGCCATCATAAAAGTTTGAACAGTATATCATATACAGACCATCTAAGATGCATTCTAAGCAACTGACCTAAATGTTGATTCAGCCTAAAATTTAATATATAACAATACAATGTTCTTTTTATATATACAGTATCTTAAGTTCTTAGCAGAACAGTCTGATTTCATTCTTTTAATCATTGTTACTATTTATTCCACATAAAGATCATAACTAAGACCACAAAAACCTACAGAAGATTTGAAGTGAAGCATGGAGAAAAATCTTGTTTTCCCAATGATAGCTAGTAAATTTAGGCAGAAGAACTGTAGAACACAGGAAGTTGCATATGTGATTAAAAAAACCCCAAATTTTTAAATTAAAAAAAAAAAAAGAAATTTTTTAATGCCCTCCATAATAAAAAAGTTGAGGGTAGCTGTTTTATCCCTCTTTCCATTGAACTACACCATGATTTCAAGTCCACTTGACGAGCATTCACCATGAAATCAAACAACACAGTTTTTCAGTCATAAAAAGGTGGCCCATTTAAAGCTACACGACAGATGAAGAGCTTCACTGCACCTTGCGTAGTGCTGGCAGTACAGTGATTTTCACTTCATTGAACTACCTAGATTGCTGGAAATAGTCTCTCTATATACACATATAGTTGTGGACCCCACTGAAGCTCCAGACTCAAACAGTGCTCCATACATAAAACTTCTCCTTTTTCACGGTAGGTGTGACCTGCTGCACATAGTTTGAACACATGCAATGAAAACCAGAGTGCAGATAGAGTACTCCATTGCCTCCCCTTGTGCTCAGAAGAAGGAGCAGTGGAAGCTCCTTGGTAACACAGTGGGATGACTAAGTTAACCCTTAAACACCTCATGGTATCAATGTTTTCTTCAGTAAAGTTTAAAAAGCTTTAGAAAATTAAGAAAGTCAATTCAGTCAGCAAGGACCAGGTCTTGAGTGTCACTCAGAGAGACAACCACTACTGCCAAATTACACTTCCTTCTCTTAATACAGAGGCTGAGAAACTGCAGCAGCAGAGGACTGCTTTCCACAGCCTCTGTTCCCTGCAGGATTTTCCACATCTATGTACTTAAAAGATTAACTGGCTGTACTATGTCAGTAAATACTGCCAATTGTTCCGTCAAACCACTGTCATCCTGGATAGTTCTCCCACAGCTGTTTGCCTGGCTTTGTGGGACTGATCCAATCACCCATCTTCCCTGAAGGGTCTAAGGTATGGATACTTAGTTCTGCTCAGTCCTACTTTGTGAGAAATTAAACTACAGACCAGTCAGGGAAGGAAGCAACTATTATTCCTATATAGCAACAACAACAGAAATCCCTTTCCTCCACGTCATTTTCTTATCAATGCATCTTAATGTTGTACAATCAGTACCTAAAAAGACATCATCATTTTTTGGCAATCTACTGTACTTTTGTCTTCTGTATGTTTCTTCCTTTACATTATTAACCTTGATAGCTGTAAGATGCTACATGATCCTCAGAGGTATCCAGTAGCCTTAGTCAGCCTGCCAGGAGTAATGCACACATGGCCAGAACAGACTTTTAAATACTACTTATTTTTTGATTTGGCAAGTACAAAAACTCTGAGCGATAGATTTCTGCAAACTATGCATTTAAAGTTTAGTGGTAATCCCTTCACAAAAGTTAAAACCCACTGTTTCACATTAAACAAACTTGTTAGCTATTTTCTTGCGTAATAAACAGACAAGTAAGAGTAAAAATCAATATAAAGTCTTGTCAGCTTTCTACGTTAATATACCTTAATGCCATAAGACACAATGACATCTCTTCAGAACATTTAATTTATAGGATTTCAAGTAAAAGGAAAAATGAGCAAATAATTGTTGCCAGAAAATACTGTAGTTATACCTGTGTGTAGTACATTACATTAGGGCAAAAGAAACATGCAAGTGGAAAGGCAGATAACAGTCAGTTAAATTATGTCAAATGCACATAAATTATTATTCTACTGAAAATAAAATTAAGACTTCAGCCAAAAGCCAATCAGAACCAAGCACTGCATAAGAGAACTCATATAATTAGAAATATCAATATTGACAGAACTGAGAACATTGAATTAAGTGCCCTGAAGGCACAGCAAGAGTTACAGCAACAGGGATCATCTGACAAACAACATGATACAGCCTTAAGTAGGAGTGGGAATTCTCTAAACTACAAAAAATTCTTACTTTAGAATTCCATTTGCTCCTGTGTAAACTTCTCTCACATTGGGACTAGAAGGCAGCATGGTAATAATTCTGTCTGCTCGTTCTGCTACATCTGCTGGGGATTCTGTTACCTTTTAAAGGAAAAAAAAATATATAAGCTTACACTTCCTGAAACAGAGATGTCAGACATGTTTCTTGAATTTGTTTTTTAGTATTCACCGGTCACAACTTAGCTAGGTAAAAAATTAAAACACTAGAAAAATTGCTCTCCTAATGAAAATGTTAGTTAATTGTATCCAGTAATAGAAAAATAAAAAAAATAAAAATGAAAAGGATTTGCTATCATGAAAGTTCCTCCACATCTGCCAAGGGGGATGCTTGCATCCCATCAACCTATTCACAAATCTTCAATTCCTTAAAAACCACGCATCTATAGAAAATATTGCTCTACAATGTTTCTAAGGAGGAAAATATGAAGGATCACAAAAATCTCACTTTTTTCCTATCTTATATATGATATTGGAAGAGAGGAAGACTGAGGAAAAAAGAAAAAAATTATTTAATGTTGCTCTGAGGCTCACCTTAAAAAATAGATCAGATAAGCTAACCGCTGTTTCTCACAATATAACAGCTGGCATTTTTTTAAAAAGGAAAATTATCAGCTCAAGCATTCTTCACAAAAAAAGATCTGAACAATTTTCAAAATACAGTATTAGGTATTGGTTGTCAAATAAACATACCAAACTTTATATTACTTTTCCCAGATCACTTTCAGAGAAATATTGACAGCTAAAGCTGAGTTGCACTCAGAAAGCATTTACCACTATGACTTTTGTCCAGTACTGGTTTGAAGTAATTCTTTAAAAAATGCACTGTTAATACATTCATAGATAAGGGAAAACAACAACAAAAAATACAGCTAATTCTTTTATCTTTAGCCCACAAGGATCGAGTCTGATTTCAGTCATTCAGGTAGTTTTACAGAAAGGATTTAAGTTCTAGGCAGGAAGCAAGATGAGCAGAAAGTAGATTTTGTTTGTGAATAGGACTTCTAGTATTTATCTTCCAGCTATTGTTGCTGAATGATGAGAAGCAACTTTAGTATCTCAGTGATCTGTTCTGCTACATATGTTATATGCCTTGAGTTTTTAACTTTAAGAAATGTCTTAAAATTTTACATGAACTTCTTAGTATGAATAAATTAGAATTTCCATATCACATGACTCTAGCGATAAAGAAATTGCAGCTTGAACAGCTACCTGAAATTACAGAGACTTTCCATAGTGCGGACAAATCAACAAATCGTTGAGCCCATTTCACCATTCCCTATCTATTTATAACTACAGGTATTTGTTATAATTTTTGTTAGTTCTGACAGTAAAGATCCTAATGTAAATATATTCTCTTTTTATATACACTACATTCATAAGGTCTCAGAATCAAAGAAAGCACGTTATACACACATTTGTATGGAATGTTGAATAAGGACTTCTGGGATACAGCATGAGAAACTTCTTGATTTGTATTTATAAGTAAAAGAAGGGAAGACTGTATATAGTCACTGAACAAAGCTCCTGGGAAAAAAAAAGTACAGAAACTGGCATAGATGGGACTTAGGAACACCCAGATTTTGTTTTGAAAGACTAAGTTAATACTGTACAAAATATCTGGTATACCACATAGTTAAAAAAGGAAACGTGCTTTAGTCTAAAGAACAAAGGTTAGGAGGAATAAATGAGGCAATTATAAGAGCAAAGCTTTTCTATTTGATTAGTTAATTTTATGACTTGCCTCCCTGGAGACTGGAGTGCCTATCTCTTTATATAGGAGCATGACACCTTTGTGTTTAGTTTTGAGTATCTCTGGTTCAGTTCAGTCCCAATGTGTATTATTAGAGGAGGAGAGAGGCAGTGTGCAATTGGAACCCGAATTTATATATGTCTTCTTAGTTGAAACTATTATGTGTAGTATTCTTAGGGGTTTGCAAGTTATCAGCTGAAGACTCAGAGGCCCATTTGCATCTTTCAACCAGAAGTTGAAAAACATATCATATTGGGCACACAACTGAAAAACTACATCAGCTTCAAATTTCTACTTGGCTACACAGATAGAATATAGCTGGGTTTTGATTACAGTTTTAAACAGTTCTTAAGGAACACAGATACATAGACATGGTCAGTAGTCACCTACACAGAAATTAATTTATTCCATCCATGTCTTTCAAAATACTAACATGCCTTTTATATGAAGCAAATGAGATTAAAAACGCATACAGATTAGGACAGTACTTCCACAACCATACAAAGAAAAATCTTTCTGCTACCTTGAAGTAAGTAGCAAAACAAAGTGGGAATTAAAAGTGGGAATTGCCATTCTTAGCTTTTTGATACTGTTAACCAATATGAATTATATTTTCTGAGGAAATCTACCTACCTTGTTCAGTAAGCAGCATACAAAACTTTTATTTTATTTGGGACTTCCTGTCTCAGAAATAAATCTGAATGATTTGAAAGCTATCGCAAAGCATTAAGCATTCAAAATCATTAAGAATGTGCATAACTTTAAAAAATATACCAAATACTAATTGTTCATTACCAACACAGACCATACTGGCTCAGAGTAGCAGCCCACCGAGTTTCGTACATGTTCTGATACTTGTTTGCTTAGTTCAATCAAACTTTTTCAGTATGCAACTGGATAGGGGAAACTTTTCTTCATACTGGTCATTGGTTTTGCCCTTCAATATGTGCATCTGCTTATATTTGTTCCAAGCTGCTTCCCTATTTTTTATTTATTTTTGCAGTAAGTCAGGTAATAATTCTGTTTGCCTAAAATGCCATTATTACTGTACACTGAAGAAAGCTCTATTTTTATGATGCTTTATGCATCAGATGACTTCAGTAATCTTCTAAATCTGAGGTAAGATTCAAAGACATGTAAACTGAAGTAAAGTAACTGTGTGACACAGTTACTCCACTGTGTGAGAAAAAAATTGATAAGTATGATAAATATGACAAAGGGGAAAGACAGTAGGTAGAGTGTAGAGGCAGCCTACTTGCTCACAGTCTTGTTCAGTATTTTCCCTTGTTTGTAGCCTTCCAACTTTCTCCCAAGTTTCACCCCAAGTGGTTCCATATGCTCCAGCTCAGCCAGTTATCCTCTTACTATTCACCATTACTAGGAGGGTGGCTGGTTCCTGATATATACTACCTCCCAGTTCTTTAATTCAGAGGCTAAAGAAAGGGGAGTGACAGATTATGCAGATTAATGGTCCAACATCCCTCATCCTCCATATACCTTGGTAGCAGCACTGGCCTTAAACAATGGACATTTGACTAGATTTACTGTCTCTTGGGGTCATTTCACCTCTGTAACGCTCCTGATGATTTTACCCTACCAGCCAGACCAAAGAGAAAGCAGCCCTTAGAGCCTAATGTTCCTTCTACAGCAGTTTCTACAAGGCCCCACGGACCCACAAGTTTTCAACTCCTGAAAAAGTGTTGGGGTAGGATTTACACCTATAGATCAAGAAGAGAAAGCTACGTTCACGTATTTTCCTGAAGTGTGTTTTATTTGTATTTAAGCCTACCCATGTATTCTCTTAGTGATTTACAATCTTAAAACATACTTTTGACTTTATTTTTAAAAGCATTACAGTTCACCTTTATTATCACAGGTTAAGTCTTGCAGTGAATGCCAAGGATTCCATTACAAGGGCAAAAAGCTAGCAAAATGGGCAGCCATAGCAAAGAGATCCTACTGCAGAACACGAATTAAAAATACAATCAATTGTTCAAAACAGACTCCCATTTGCCCAGTCTCTTACTCAAAGACAGGTCTGTTTCATGCCTGAGGGTTTCAGCCGCTTTAACAAAATAAAAACAGGAGCTAGGAAAAAAAGCTGAAAAGCTTACTTTCCCACTTAAGGCCAAGATTCTGTAATTATTCAAGGGGAGCTGATATTAATTACTAACGGGTGCGCTTTATCATTTTATCTTTCATGAATCTTGATGTTACCTCATTATTTAAAACAGCTGCAATTAGCTCCAGCAGTTTAGACTTTCAAGGCACACAATTCCTCTATCTAGATATACCCACAATTTCCTTGCCACTGCTGGAAAATTCCCTCCTATCCTTTATACTGTTACATCAGAGTATTATTTTTGCATTGCACTCCTTACTTGAGTATGTTCTTTTGTTCCAGTGTTTTATGCACCTACCCATCTGCCCAAAACTGTCTAAATTGTTACAGCTTTGAAGTATGTCAAAACAATTCAAATGTGTTTCAGACACTTAGAAATGACCCAGCCACCTCAGAGACTGAATGGGGTTCTGGGAGTATTAACAGATCAACAAAAGAAATAGGACTAGCTGGAAAAGGGCCAAGATTTTTCAGGGTATATGGCAGGAAGGTAAACCTCCTTAATGTAATCAATTTCCTTCCCTCCTTTTTCCTTTCATTCCTTCCTCTTCTCTCACCGTATCCTTCCTCATCTCCAAGAGAATAAGCACTTAAATAATTAGATTTTTCCCCTGACCCTGAGGACTGCACCTTGAAGCAGCAGGAAAGCTCATATGTCCCTATAACCCTTACAGCTATGCCAGCAGGAACTTTTAACTAGGGTCATTTAACCTGAAAAGGTCAAAGTGGGAACCAGATGAAAAGCAGCCCACTGGCCATCTAGACCTGGGGGAGAAGAAAGCAGGAGAAAGGAGGAGGTGAAAGAACAGGCCATCAACTTACTCATAAAAGCGGGAGGGAAAAAAGAGCTAGAGAAGTTTGACAAAGTAGCAATTCTGGCTAACAACAGGAAAATTACTTGGGTTAGAATCATATCTTTGCTCCAACTGAAACCTTACAGATTCACATTGTATTCATTGTGCTGTTTTAGTTCTGACTGTGATCTTAATCAAGAAAACAAACGCAGATGATTTAGTTGCGTTGCATGCAATAACCATTCAACACAGTTATTGTTGGAATAAAGGAAGTTTATTACTATACCTGAGCGCCCAAGTCTTGAAATTCTTTGCAAGCTTCTGGGAACACATCATATGCAATAACTGGATATCCATGTTTTACCAGGTTTTTTGCCATTGGATTTCCCATGTTACCCAGCCCAACGAATCCAACTGGGGTTTTGGAAGCCATAGTCCTAGAACACACTGATTTCAAAAAAATAAAGATCATTGTATTTGTATTTTAGACTAATGTGTAACAATAATGTAATAAAAGCTACCACGAAATCTGTTTCCAATGATTTAAACAGCTTTATGCTTAAAAAAAAGTGGAAATGTGAAACCTATTCTACACAGTTTAAACCGTAAATTATAGTTCACATTGGCCCACAAATATCATCCCAGAATGATTTTTCTACATATCAAAGAAAATGATTGTAATTAGGAAAACGCGGGTGTTTCAAAAGACATAGTAATAAAGCTGAGCTCTGAGAAGAGCTCAAACACAGACTTAAAATACGCAGGATTCTCTGTATTTTATTAGGTGTCTAAATCCTAAACTAGACATGGAAAATCCAACTTTATATATATTTTACGGACTCTGTATTTGCAGCTTCACTTGCAGCCTTGGAATATAGCACCTGTTCTCTAGAAATGGATCGAGGCTGCCACTTTATTTCATGCAGTTCCTCACAGACAACTGGATTCTTCTGATCCTACCATCAGATACAAGCCACTAACCTAAAGACGAAAACCTCCATACTAAATCATAGCAAATCCTTTGAGCCATGTAATCACAATTTAAATACTGAAAATTAGAACAAAATATAGTATAAAAACAAAATCATGAAGTCTTTGCAGGAATAATCTCTATATTCTACTTATCATTCTACTTATCATCTACTTATCATAGTTCAGACAGAACTATGAAGCATAACCTACAATTTGTGGAAAGCACCACAGTTCCAGTGAGCCATCTTTTACAAGTAGTTAGTGAGTATCAAATGCTGGACAGTAGCAGCACTGGAGGCATTTGTCTACTGCAATCACTATCTCATTACTCTAAATCCAAAGGCAGCACAATTTGACAGTGACTAGATTTCTTTGCCAATTACATAAAATACTTTCTCCTTTATGACAAAGGAAAAAGCTATGCAGAATAAACACTGAAGTGTGGCAACTAAGCAGCTAGAAACAAGGCTAACTAACTACAGAATTACCGTAACTCTGAAGACCACATACAGAAAATGTGCCTAAGCTGGATTGAGACTCTAAGAGGTCTCAATGCTTAGCAAAGAATCCTCTCTAGGCCAATAACACTTGATTAATCATTTTAAAGTCTTTCTGACTTTAAGCTCCTTCTTAGCCAGCAATGGTCATGCTCTTTCATCTGCAGCACTATTCTAAAAGTGCCACATTTAATAAATCAGGTTCGTTGAGAGAATTTTGGTCTGAGGCAGTTTCCACAGATGCCTGCAGCAATTACGTAGCTAGAGAAGTAGCACTATTTAAAATAAATCTGCACTGGGAAAATGCTTAGTGAAAACTGAGATAAGTCAGGAAAAGAGCACATCACTTTTTGAAGAAGTGCTACATGTCAAATCTAGGGAACAAAGGCAAAAAGAGCCTAAAACAGCATCATCAGCCATAGTAACCATCTTGGAGTCTTCTCATTGTTTCTGAGACAGTCTTACCCAGTCTCTCACACTAATCTAAAACTGCACCTCTTGTTAGCCCACAGCATCCCACTTCCCAAGGAGGTTCAAGCTCTGGTTTTAAGCATCTTTCTTTCTCTAGCCCTTAATACCAGTGGATCTTATTTACCTTGACTTCAGCAAAGCTCTCAGAACAGCATCCTCTCGTATCCCAGCAGCCAAATGAGGAAAGTACGGATTTGACTGCAAGACTGCCTGAAGGAAGAAATACTGTCTGGACTGTTGGGCTTAAACAACAGTGATCAGCGGTTCAATGACTATCAACAACCAGCTACACATGATGTACCTCATGGGTCAATACTGGGGCTGTTTAAAAATGTCATCCATGATTGACAATAGGACATTAGCACCCTCAGCAACATCATGTGTGACACCAAACTGAGGGGGATGGCTGAAAAACTGCAGGGCAAGGCTACCATTCAGAAAGACTGGAGAAATGGGCCTCAAGCAGTTCAACAGAGACAAATACATGTCCTCTGCTTGGGGCAGGAGATGTCATTGCAGACTGAGGACTGGCTTAGACAGCTGGCAGCTCTGCAGAACCTGTGGAAATTGAGCATGAGTCAGTAGTGCATCCTCACAGGAAAAGGTTAATGACATTCTGCCCTCCATTAGCAAGAGCATACCCAAGAAGTCAAAGAAACTAGTGATTCCTCTCTAACAGCACAATACATAAGAGATGTGGTCAAATTGCAGACAATCCAGCAAACATCAAGTAACATGACTGACGAGCTGGAGAATACGGCCTATGAGCAGGAGCTGAGGGAACTGTCTTGGCTGAGCTTGGAGAAGCAAAGGCTAACTGCAGTTTTCTACCATCATGGAGTGGGAGGGAAGAAGAGTCACAGAGTAAATGAAGCCAGATTCTTCACAGATATGCACAACAACAGGACATGGGGCAATGGCCAAAAGTTGTAAGAAAGGAAATTCTGTTTAGAAATCAGAAAACCATCCCTCATGTGGAAAAAGGTTCTGTTCTGGAAGAAGGTAGTGTAGAGAAGCTGTGGAACTTCCATTCTTGAAGCAACCTCAGAATACCCTGAGCAATCTGATCTAGCTTTAAAGACAGCCTTGCTCTCAAACTTCGGTTTTCTTCATTTCTGTAAATTCCAAGTGACCTCACCAGAGGAATAAATCTGGCTACCAAATATAGTCTCATTGTTGTAGACTCTTCACTTTTATCCTGATCTCTTCTTTTCTCACACCACCTCATGGACATCTAACCATCACCTCAAACCAAACATCTTCAGATAATTTTTTTTTTTTTGTTACCAGTGCTGACACCAGCAGTGATGTCTGTCACTCACAGCCTAGAAGAGCCATCCACAATCTGCTTAAATCTCATTGATTCATTCCTTATCATACCTGAGATCTCAGCTACTTTACAACCTGGTCACCTGGTTCAACAGTCATAATCTTGCCTTGATCTTCATGGAAATGTTGGGAATTGAGAAAGACATTTTGCCCATGCCACTTTCTGTCACTCCTTCTCTGCATCCTGCCTGCCTTTTGTCTACCATGTCACATAAGACTGCTTTGCTTTGATGACTTTTCATGGCTATCATCACATCTAAATATTAAGACATCAACTGGTAATTGGACTGTAGTGACAGGCTTATTGCCAACATGCATTTCTATTATGTCTCTAAGGTAAATATCCATGAAATTAACGCATTCTTCTACTATAAGGCCTCCTTTAAAAATCATCATTTTGCAATATCCCCAGGCATGGCAACATCCCAGTTAGCCTGGGATATGAGGCAACATATCCTGACCGGTACTAATAGTTTTGTGTCATTGTATTCTATTATCTCCCCTTTTGTCTGTCTCTGTTGATTTTCTCGTCTTAGTTTCTGTTATAGGTTAACTACAATATATTAAAATCCACAGGAATTGGGAGAGAAGTAAATGTTAGAGAAGTAGTCCAATTTCCCAGTCAGTTTCTGACTTAGTTTCGTTTAACTCTTCACAGCCCAGTGTTAAATTAGCCACTTTAAAATGATACAATTTGATTAACAGCTTTGAAAAATCTCCAGATCGCCGGACACTCAACCACAGGAAAACTGCTTTAAAGCACTGATGAAATTAGCTCACAGACCTAACAGAGCTGATTTCAAGTACATTTGAATCAACTACCTTTAGAATCGTGGCATATTTTTTAATGACTACTTAAGACAGTGGGGCTCTGCCAAACACAGGATGTTTTAGAAGACAAGATTTTTCACATTTTCATATTAGATGAGCCTCCACAGGTGCTTACACAGAAAGTGATGTCCAGCTTGAATACCTAGATACTTTTCAGCATTTAATACATGGCACAAGCCCAGTTTTGAAATAATTGTATAATTCAAACATGTAAGGATTGATATTCTGCAAACCCGCATACACGTATCCTTAACTAATCCCATCAACTGCATAAGCATTTGCAGAAACTGTCCCTGTGGTATTGAGTCTATTTTACTTCAACCATAAAATCTACAATAACCTGCTGCAATCATATGGCTGGAAAAACGCCCAGTCCACATTTAAATTCTAACAGAGGGCAGAACATCAGAAGTAGGAGCAATAGAATCTACTTTTAAAACAATCACTGATACCATGTGCAACTAATTCTCCTTCACTGGGAACAGAATCAGCAATACAGGTTACTCTAAAGATCAAGTTAATTATGAGCAAAACCAGCTACAGCTACACTGAATACAAAGAATTTGGGCTTTTCCCAGGAGATTCTTCATTATTCTCTTGAGAGAATACGTGTTTGCAGAGCTCCATGCCTATGAAGACTTCATTGATGAGGAAGACCAATTATGACCCTCTCACCACAACTGGGGCATACAGACAATACAGATAAAAATGTTTTGCTTTGAAAAGTCAGCCTGTAATAAAAACACCTGATCTAATCTGCAATTTCAGAACTTTATTTTACCTTTATTTTTTAAATTAAAAATTATTTTAAATTATTATAAAATTATTTTTAAAAATCAGCAAGAGTTTATGAGTCTACAAACGTCTTTTCTTGAACAAAATAGAAGAGTTTAACTTCAGAAATGCACAGATTGCAATCCTCTCCTTAGAATACCTGGCCTGTCAATGACCTAAAACTTGTCTTTTCAAGATTCTACATAAAGATATTGAAAGCAATTTTATTTTTAACCTGAACTATGACAGTTACAAGTTTAGATAATTTCAGATGTTTACATTTCATTTTACACTATCTCCAAAGTAATGACTCTTACAGTTTCAAGAAAGAATTCCAGATCCAGTGGTACCCTGATTTCACTGCAAATACTAGACTGCACAAACACTATAATATGCAGTACTGAGGACATCTCTTTGTATTCAAACAAAAAGGAACTAATAGCCGGGTAGGACCACAGACAGCAGAGCTGGAAAAGGTCCAATATACTTGTACTCTCAGGGAAAGAAGAGTCTAACTGGCCAAGAATAGGACTGAGAAACAAGTAACTTTCAAAATGTAATTTCAACTACATTACTTAATTCTTGGCCTTATAAAATCTACTTTGAATCAGGTTCACTAAATGGCACAAGAGGTAACAGCCCACACTGTCCTGTCCCATAAGAATTACCTAATTAGAGCAGTTGCAGTTCATATTAATATTCCTGATCTCTCTGGATCAGTGAAACTTGACCTCTTTTCCAACCTAGTAGGTGAGATTTAACAGGATCAGGGGAAGATGCCCAGAGGAAGCTGAACTATAAAGTTGCTGGGGCTTTATGAGAAAGTACATATGAAGTCACTTGACAAGGAGAAGGAAACATGATGACAATATGAGCCACTAAATGAAAGATTTTCCCACTGATTCAGCATCTGAAGTTCTGGTACAAGCACAACAGAAAACACCACTGCTTTTCTGCTTCCTGCTTTGAAATAAAGGGTCAGAGAGAGCTTCTGTGTCTTGTGCAGACTTCTCTTGGAAACTCATAAAACCTCTACAGAACCAGATCCTGGAGGAAACTAGATAAAGAAATGTAGAAGTTAGAGAGGCCAGCTGCACATAGGTAGAATCTTTCTGCTCCTGGAAGCTTTGCCAATGGAATTTAAATTGCTCCGGGATCACTAGCTTTTAAAGGTTATGCAATGATTTTGAGAATTGCACTCTGCCAAAATAATAATTTAAGAAGATTACAATACTCTAAATTTGGCCAGATTTACATTGAAACATCCCACTTGCTTTTTCTTGTCTCTGTAAAGGTCTACTGATCAAAACCAGACATGATATCTTGTAACAGTCAGAGTCTTCTTACCTCATTTTTCTTATCTGTAGCTATACTTCACTAAATGTTTGCTAATACATTAAACAGAAAATGTTATAGTAAGTACTTTTCACCCAAAAAGAATATCGAGTGTACACTTGATCCCTTAATTAAGTAATGTGCTGGACTTTGGAGCAGCAGGTCTTTCTGTCATAATCCTTGCTTAGTAATGCATGTTCCTTTGCACCAGAGCATGAAGTCATTCAACAGTTCAAACACAGCTCCTGCATCAGCAAAAGTACTATTTGACTACTAACTGAATGGGTACCTACCACTCATCCAAAACTACTTGTCAGGACGTTTTTGTTCTCTAGCAGGGTACTGTCTTCTTTGATGAGCAGCTCCCTCAGCTGATGAATCTTCATTCACCAGAAAATCTTCCTTTCTCAGACACCATAATTTATTAACACCCTCTTCATCCCCCCTAGCAGTCCTCAGGAAGGGGATTCCACATCCGTCAAAAACATATTTTAAAGTAGGATCACAGAAACCCCCTCCATGAAGCACCTTCGTCAGAGTCTGCCAGGGGCAGATCACAAGACTGCATAGTCTCTATCCAACTTGCTAATACAAATACATATCCAAGATGCTCCTCTAAAATCTGCCCTCAGCTTTTTATTTTCCTCCTAGATAATTTGACAGTCTCTAGAACAAACATACAGAAGAAACAATCCATCATAGTCTACACCAGCTGCAAAGAGCCACTGACCAAGTAACCAAGGAACGTTCAACAAGAGAATGAAGACAGCCCACTCACTAACCAAGTTGCGGAGTGACAGCTCTCAGAGCTGGCAGAGTTCCTTCACTAGGAGGCATTTTCACTCAGAAGGACAGTTGATGAAATCACTACTCAAAAGACAACATTCAGACTAATTAAAATGAAAGAAAAGGATGGTAAACCTAATAAACGCATTAGAGATGGGAAAACCTTGACATATAACTAAGCAGTAGAGCTTAGCAGTAAAGAAGGCTTAATGCTTAGACCTTCATCCCATAAACACTTCTCAGAGTCAGGAGTACTTTCAGCATAGTCACTACTAAGTAAGTCAGATCTTAAACTCTGTGGGTGAAATTCTGTTCTATGGAAGTTTCTTGGGAGAGTCACAATTTCTCCTTAGACTTAGTCACAGTTTCTTTCTCAGGTCTTATGGCAAAGACAAACTGTATTTTTCAACTTTAAGGGCCAGTCTAGGGTTGCTTTTCACACCTGTGCTCACCATCAAGAAACAAGATCCCCA